GATTCCTACTTCTGGGCTCTGAAACTTACCTCTGCTTGCAGCGCTTTGTCCATGGGGTCCTCTCCCCACTGTAGGTGTCCATTCCCCTGTGACACCTCCCCCTGAACCCTATGTAACACACACTTCACCCTCACACCTTCATGAGGTAGTACCACAACCATCTTCCTGCCCTTCCAGACACATATGGAATTTTAAGCTATGTTTCTGTGTTTTCTCTTTCCTCCCTAAAAAGTAAGAAGCCTGTGATCTATACTTCATTTTGAATCCTCTGATTTCCAGTACCCAGAAAATGTCTAGCACAAATTAGATGCTCAATCAGTATTCTAAATACACATAAGAATCAGTGAATGAATGATTGAAACTGAGTCATAAGGAACTTCAAACAGGGAATGTTACAGCCTGTGATTTTTATATCTTACAGCAATCCCTGAGCCTCTAAACTGATGTGAACAGAAGGTGGGCTTCTAAAACTACCCAGTCCAGAATGAGGACCATCTCTCTAACAAATACCCCAAAAAGTAAGTTGACCAGCCCCCTCCCAAGGTTGCAATTTGTTTAACCAAGGAACTGAGCAATTCTAGGCATTTCCACGACTTCTGCTCATCAGGATGGGACATGCATCCTAGGCTAGTGATGCCTGTGGCTTGAAAGTCTCCACTTTCTCAAAAGGGGTATTTTTTTCTTGCTTTCATTTATTCTGTTCTTCCTCCCCAGTGCATACTGAAGGAGGGTGAATAACCTGTCTGCCAGTCATCAGCTTCCGAGGACCATATCAGGATTAGGACCACATCAGGAGCAGTGGAGAATAGCACAATGCAGCAGCCCCAAACTCCTGGCTGGAGGCAGGGATGAGAAGGGACATCTGCAGGTTACTGGGGGATAAGCAGGTACATGTTACAGCAAGTGACATAGGAACACAAGGCTCTGTGGGTCAGCAGAGAGATGGAACAGGAAGCACCTCAAGATGAGTGTTCTGATGCTTTATTCAGAACCCAACCCTCACACAGACTTCTGGGCAAGAGGAATTTAGTCAGAGAAAGAAGAGAGAGATGAAATTCCAGTAATATTGAAGCACTTCCGCAAAGGCTTAGAAGTGAGAGAAGAGAAAGATACATTCCTTGTCATTACAGACCTTGGCAGATGACACATATGTCAGGTACAGAGACTTGAGTTAATTGCCAGACTCCAAGCATAAAGTAAGGGCGGAGGGGGGTGGGAGTCTAACTCAGTGGTAGAGCACTTGTCTAGCATGTGCAAGGCACTGAAATCTATCCCCACCACCGCAGCAGGTGGAAAAAGAAGTATTCTGGAGGATCATAATGAGATAAAGTCAGAGTGAGAAGTATCAGCAAAAAAATGCCCTAAATGAAATGTAATGTTTAGCTGTTTAAATATTAATGTTTAAAGTTTAGCTTCTCTTGACTGAACTTCGCTACACCTTGAAAATCATTGCTATAGATTTTATGCAAAACAAGGTGCTGCGGTACTTGAGGCACTGGGATCAGATCAGCATAAGGAGCAGAATGCAGATAATGCAGTCTTCACCTATTGACAAACTTACTCATAAGGTGACAGGACAACAATCCCATTAGAGTCTCTGTAAGCCTTTTTCGTTATTGCCACTTGAGAAGCAACCAGAAAAGAAAGTGCAAGCGGGTAAAAGCAGCAAAGTCTATAATTTTTCACAATCTTGTACAGTAATCTTCTCACAGTGACACAAAACTCAGACTAAAATGAGCCTAAATTTTGTTTTACTCTAACATTTGCTAAGTGTGCAGCAATGCACAGGCTGGTAAATTCTCTGAGGCTCTGCCTCTTCATTTTGGAGGTTTATGCACACAATATTTACTTCACAGTTGCTAAAGCATTAAATGGCATAATGTGTACAAGAAACACTGTTAAGAAGAGGACTGGCACAGGTGTGCTCTTAATGAGCACAAATGGGAAAATATGAGAAGCCTAGGCCTGAAGCAGCTTTTTGTGCCATTAAAAAGCCTGAGAATAAAAACTAACACCAAGGATATAGGAACTTTTGCTTTATTTGGTTAAGCCTGTTTGAGTTTTCTGTCACTTAAAAGAGAATGTATGCTTAATGATGTATATAAAGAAGGAAAAAAGAACAATAGCTAAATAGGAATGTTGGCTCAAAAATAGTTTTCATGGAGACAAATGAGAATATTCTAAAAAGTAAAGGTAATGAAAGAAGGAACCAAAAAAACAAAGGAGGACTAGGAGAAAGAGTATATGACACAATTCAGAACACAAAAGGAATAATAATAGCATAGTCTCTTAAATACTGCAAGTTATTTAAAAAGTGCATTTATTCTTTAAGCTTTTGAATTTGCTTTTCTTCATAATTTGCATAAATTTTCCATCTGACTTTCACAGGCTCTTACTGCCCAAACATGGAGATCTGCTACAAGCCTGAGCAGAAGTGAAGGAGTCTGGCACCACCAGCTTTCCTGTAGTTCATCAAGACTGAACACATGTTCAAGAAAGAGCTTTCAGTCACATGAGCTGAGGTGGAGAAAAAATATTAAGGCAATAACATTTTCATGATTTCTGTCTCTCAAGTACCTAAAGCCCATGTTTATAAAAATTTATTTAAAGCCTAAACCTAATGTGTTTAGTTGGCTGGTACCTGGTACAGCTTTTATGCCAGATAAAGGTAAACTTTAGATAATAGAGTTTATACACCACTGGAGATAACTGTTAGGAGGGAATTGGACAGAAAAGGAAACATGAAGTGCAGATAAGACTCAGATAATATCTCTAGGACATGTAAAACCTTTAAGGTAGAGAAGATAATTCTCAACTACACATTTGACTCTCCAGAGGAACTTATAAAAGAAACCACCAACACCCTCCTCCTGAGACTCTGATTTATTGTGAGAGTAGGCAGGCAGGCACTGCTATTTTCATGAGCTTTTGGGTGATGCTAACATGCTAACAGGCTAGACAGCCTCTGGGTGGGGACCCTGCTGGGCACTACTGCAAGGCAGATGAAAGTTTTGATTAATCCATCACTTATCCTCCTGCGCTCTAAGTTAGAAAGGAAATCCAAAAATACACAGAGATTTACTGAACAGTTGTTTACAGTTACTTCCAAACACACTCAGACCTTTAAATTTTATTCTCCTCTCAAGCCATTTTAATGGCAGCAGTTCTTGAATTTGCCCATGAGCCCCTTACCTTCTCCTGACCCAAGCCAGTCACAAGCACCTGTGAGCAAGCAGTAGACGAGATCAGGGACACAGAGTTCCACCCCCACTGGCCTATTTCCCACTAGGATAATCTGGGCATTTCATAGGAAACTTTGGAGAGCTCCAAAGGATATCAGAGAACCTCTGTTTTAAACACCTACTTCCTATTGAAGAACAAACTTGGGCATCTTCAAAGTCAGAATTACTTTTTACATCATACAGATTTATCTAGCATTATGCAGAAGAGGGAAAAGTCTTCAAACACTGTTCTCTTCATAGAGTGACCCAAAAGAGGTTCCACCAGGATTAGACTCATCATTTAAGAATAAGGGTGAACTGGAGGGCAAAAGCCACATCACTTCCAACTAGCCTGACATACAGCCAATCCTATCCCCAGAGTGAGATGCTCTCAATAGTTTACAATAATAGAAGGTATGGTGTTATTCTTTTCTCATCAGATATATTTCAAACTTGTCACAAAACCAATTGGAAAGACAAAGTTAAATAATGCAAGAACTCTAAAAAGGTACTTAAAAATAGACCTTCACTGCTGCTCAGAAAGAAAGTCCCTCAGCTCCCGGTAAAAGTACAGCAGTTGATCTATCCTAGAGGCCCAGGAGATTGTTTCCAGCTCCAAATGGGCTTTGGACTAACGCAAATCATTAAAGTGACTAACATTTCTGGTTTGGTATAGTTCTACCAAAAATTGTCTCATTTCATTCTCTCTGGTCAAAACACATTTATAGTAAATTTGATGATAGAAGTTCAAACAAGTTGATCCAAACATTCAATGTAATTCCATCAGAATTCGCATGATTTGTGGCAGGTGGAGAGGTAGATGATTAGAACTAAGAGATCTAATTCTAATAGAATTAAGAAAGCCAATTATGAATTTTATATGATAATGTAAATAATAACTTTTAAAGAAATTTAATTTGGAGACACTTGTTACCTGATTTTGAGAAATACTATAAACCAGTATGAGAAGTCATAGCTCCAGCAAGCAAAAATAAAAATAAGATCTAGTATTTTAGATGTAGGACAGTACTGTATCATAGCTCTGTGAATGTAAAATATCTTGTACGTGCTTTATGATATGTAGCAGTGATCGTGCTTTATCAGAGCTGTTTTTAAGGATGTCACTCTAGAATGTTTTCTTTTCAGATGATGATTAAGAAGCTAATAAAAAAAAATGGTGCTGGGTACCACAACAGTAATAGAACTTTGCTGTTTTCTGGGTATTTTTCTTTTCTTTCTTTCTTTAATGGAGTGTGCTGGATGTCTCTATAATTTTGTTCACATGACTGCAGAACCTGGAAAAGCTATTGCTGGTATTGATGCATAACATACTGCCATTATTGGCCCTTATATAAATATAAATATATATACATATAAATATATATATACATATATATATAATTTGAATTTTTGAAAACTTTAACTGTGCTGTCAGCTTTGGAAAAAATTATCCCAGTTTACTGTGTTGAGTTGGCATTGTACACAAATTAACAGCCATATCGGTCTAGAAACATTAAACTTAATTTTTTTCCATTTGTACAGGGGTAATGCACTGTATTAAATATGTAAGGTCTTATCTACATGGGTTTGATTACAAAAACTAATAAAGTATTGAAAAATAAAAATAACAGTTAAATCAGGAAATAGCTGGTGAATCATAGTGCCATATTTATTTTCTTGTTTTGAAATCAGTTTTATAGTAACAATTCTACCAATTTTAAGTATATAAATAAATCAGTTGTGATAAATATATACAGTAATTGTATAGAACATTTTCATGATTCTAGATAGTACTTCCACGACCTCTGTGTTTTTTTCTTATTAGATCGGCTTCAGTCTAGTAATGCCGAATAATTCTCTGTGTTAAAAGAGCAACAGACAAGACAAAATGAGGAGAGGCTGTATGGCTCCTGAACTCCCAGAAGCCAAAATGTGGTTTTTTTTGTGTTGAGAAGTGAAGTGCTGAAATGAGAAATATCTAAAATTGTAGAAGTGCTTTGGTGTTGGGCAACAGATGTAGATGAGAAGAATAAGTAATGTGTTTAAAGGGTAGCCTGGGCCGGGGATTTAGCTCAGTGGTTCCGGCGCCAGCCTCGAAAGCACAAGGTCACGAGTTCTATCTCCGGTACCAAAAAATAAAAATAAAAAATAAAAAAATAAAGGGTAGCCTGGTTTCTTCTAGCAAAAATGTGGGCAAACAGAGGTAAACTGAGGACAGACTATTAAGCAAAAGGAATCTACATTTGATTTCAAAGATTGTCACCCTATCCATATTGCAAAAGATGACAACAATAGGGGATTCACTGGTAGAGAAATGTGCTTTAAATAACCTTTTATTGAAGAATTAGGAAAGTGCTACATGATTCATTCAATATCCCAGTAAAAACTAGACTGAGGATAGAATTAGCTGCAAAGGACCCTCTTATCTCTATGGAAGATCTTCTTGTCCAACGACACCAATTCTTCAGACAGAGTAGACCTGCAAGACAAAAATGTTAGTTCTGCAGAAACACTGCCATTTTGAACTGAAAGGAACAGAGACAAGACAGTGGTGAGAAACAGTTGGGCTCCCAAAATTTTACAGTCAGGAAAGAGAGCTACTGGGCTGAAAATATTTCCTCTTCAAGTAAAAGGAAGTAGACTCAGAACCGAGCCTTAGGCACAGAAGGTATAGTAACAAGACACACACTGTGAAAACTAATGTAATGTTCTCTGCTGGGTTTTGAACTTGGTTGGGATTCATGGCACTTTATTCTTTCCATTTTCTTTTATTTAGAACAAGATTATCTGTAAGTGCTATCTGATGTCCATCCCATCACTGTATCTTGGAAGCTGAGAACCTGTTTTCTATTTTCATAGATCTACAGATGGAAAGGAATTTTTCCCCAGAATGAATCATATCCAGAGCTTCACCAATACCTGATTTAGATGTCAATCTGTGGGACATTTGAATTGTGAGATTCTGGACTTTAAGAGTTGATGCTGTTATGCACAGAGAGTTGAGGATATTTAATTTGGGGACTAGGCTGAACATATTTTTATTTGAGAGATGTGAATTTGGAAGGGCCAGAGTGCAGACTGTGGGAAGCTGAATGTCAGCCCCCCAAATGGTATTTCACCTCCTACTCCCTGAAACCTGTGAATGTTATCTTACTTATAAAAGAGGTCTTTAAAGATATAACTAAATTGAGGCTCTTGAGATGAGGATATAATCCTGGATTATCCAGCTGGGTTGTTAATCCAATGGCGAGTGTCTTTACACAGAGAGTACAAACATACAAAAAAGAAAGGTATGGAGTATACAGCCACAAGCCAGAAAACTTCGGGGGTCATCAGAAGCTGGAAAAGGCAAGGAAGGAAATTTTCCTTAGAGCCTCTGAAGAAAGCATGAATCTGCAAACACCTTGATTTCAGATATCTGCCGTCCAGAACTGTAAGATAAACCATTTCTACCATGCTAAGGCTTTGAGGGTGGTAATTTGTTATACCAGCCCTAGGTAGCCAATACAAATGTCCAGGTCTTACAAATATTTTGTTAAACTTATTGGTACTTCATTTTTGACTCTTGACATATAGCTATTAATATTAATATGAACTTACATTGTTATATTTGTAAATACAATATATTTTTCTATGTTGCTTTTAGAGCCCATGGCTTTGCTAAACTCACTGTACTTTCTTGTTCATTTGTGTATATTCCTTATGACTTTTTTCTTGTGATTTACTTCTTCCTTCCCAATGGAGATATCTTCTATTTATTTTCCTTTACTTAGTATAGTAGTTAGGATCACACTAAAATTTGATTTGAAGTTGTATGAATAGACATTCTTGCCTTGTTCTCAACTTTAAGAGTTATACAGTCTTTCAATTATTAGCCAAGGATTATTTTCTATATGAATTTTACTAGGCTGAGAAAGTTCTTATTTATTCTTAATTTGCTGAAGGCTTTGTATCATGAATGAATGCTAAACACTGCCAAACATTTTCTGCACATATTGAGGTGATCATCTGGTTTTACTTTTTTTTTTTGTACCAGGGATTGAACTCGGGACCTTGCACTTGTGAGACAGGCGGCAGAATCACTGAGCTAAATCCCTGGCCCTAGTTTTTCTTTATTAATCTGTAAATACAATGAATTACATTTTTGCTTTTCAACTGTTAAAATAACATGCATTCCTAAAATTAAGCTTACTTGTGGATGATATATTTATTATCATTTTCATATATCACTGGATTTGATTTTCTAATATTTGGTTATGGAACTTTGCATTAAGTTAATGTAGGATATAAAAGTACATAAACCTCTTGTTTTCTTTTTTAGAAGGGTTTTGTCAGATTTTTGTGTCAAAGTCCAAACTGAGTTGGAAAATTTTCCTCTATTATTTTCTGAAAGAGTTTCTATAGAATTGGATTTTATGTCTTCTTTAATTGGTTGTTACATTTCTCTAGTAAATACATCTGGATCTAGAGTTTTGCTTTGCTTTGTTTTTCAATTGAACTGTTTTAACTATGAATGCAATTTCTTTAATACATATGTAGTTATGGAATTTATTTCTTCTCAGATGAACTTTGTAAACATTGTAATTTCACCAGTTTTTTTCATTTTATTAAGTTTCCAAATATATTGTCTATAGTGGTATTCCCCTTATACTGATAATTATCCTTAACATTAGTAATTTGTTTTCTCCTTTTTTCTTCTGACAGTTTGGCATGTGCATTATCAATGTTATTGTTCTTCCCAGAGTCAGATCTTACTTTTTAGATTTCTCTGTGTTAATATTCTGTTTTCTACGCCCTTGATTTCAACATTATTCTTTTCTTCCTTTTGCTTTGAATAAAATTTGTCATGTTTCTAGATTCTTAAAGTGAAAGCTTATACCACTAATTTAAAAACCTTTATCCTTTTCAAATAAAAGTATTGTTCCATAAATTTTACCTAGCTACTTTAGACACATCCCCAAATTTTCAATATTTTCCATTTTCATTTTTATTCCAAAATAGTTCTTTTCCTATGATTTTTCTTGATTCATGCAGTACTCAGCAGTTCTAAATATTTGGGGATTTTCAGGATATTACTGTTTTCTACTGGATACTACTATTTTCTAGTTTCCATTTTAATCAGAAAATATTCTATATTTTTTGAGTCCTCATAAATGTATTGAGACTTATTTTTTAGGCCAGAAAATAATCTTTCCTGGTGAATGACCCCTGTGCATTTGAAAAAAAATGTATTTTTCTACTCTATTCATATCAATTACATCACATTGTGATAAAACTATTGTGGTCTGGTCACTTACTTTCTGACTACTTGTTCTATAAATTATTGGGGAAAGAATGCTGCATTTGTTTCTCCTTTCACTTCCTTCAGGGTTTGGCTTCTTGTAGTTTATCATTCTGGTCTGATGAGCTTGTCAGCTAACATTTTATTGGATGACGGGAATTGCAAATTTTATTCTGTTGGGTGCTGAATTTTGTTGTATTCGTTTAATAAATATCAAATGTATTTTTCCACACACATTACTTGGATTGGCTTGATTCTTTTAGGCTTTATTATTAGGCTTTATAGAAGAGGTTGAGACCAGTGTCCATATTAGGACTCATTTAGCCCGTCTACTAAGGTGGTATCTTCTTTTCATATTTTACTTTCTATTAGTACACGTTTGCAGTACATAATGATTACATTCATCATGGGGATGTGTGCATGTACATTCTGAGAAACTATCCACTGCTGTGTAGCAGGAGTCTTTCCATAATGACCAGTAGCAACACCAACTATTCCCCACCATATGTGATTTCTGGGAGTTTTTGGCCCAAGGCTTTCCAGTGTTGTTGGTTTTGTTGTTGCTGTTTTAGGTCCTTGTTCATTTCTTCTCATATATGCGCAGATCAGTGTTCACCCAAAAATAGTAGGAGAAACTTTCCCAGATCTTTGGGGTTCTCTGTGTAGTTTCCTGCTCTCTAGTACACTATGCCACCAATTTTACTCTATCAGCCTGCCTAAACTCCACTCTCTGTCTCCTCTACTCAGTAAGACTGCCAGTACCCACCTCTGTACCCCTTCCCTGCACTTTGGGCTGGAAACCGCGTCTCGGCACTGCAGGGGGCAGTCACAGAGGTTACCTCGTGTTGTCTTCTCTCAGGGACCTTTACTGCCTGCTGTCCTATGCCTGAAATCTATCCTTTTATATGTTTTGCCTTGTTTTTAGTGTTTAAAAGCAAAATATAAATCTGGTTTCTCTTATATCATCATAGTCAAAAATAGAAATTTTTCTGTTTTTTAATTAAATGGAAGCTCTTCCAGATTTTACACATTAAAGATCCTTTTAGTACTGATAATAAGTTACTATTAATCATAGTGGAAAGATTTCTTTAAATAAAATTTTTAGTGAAAAATATTTACTTCCTCATTGCTCTATCCTTTATTCTGCATTTTGGACTCCCATACATGTTGAGGAAGGGGGATAAAGAGCAGCCCCAACAGAAACTGGCCCAGAATTCATCCTCTGAAAAGGTCATCCAAGCACAGGCAAAAATCAGATTATTCTGTGTTATGGATTAAATGATAATACCCCCCCCAAATTTATAAATTGAAATCCTAAACCCCAATGTGACAATATTTGGAGATGGGGCTTTGAGAGGTGATTAAGATGAGATTTGGTCATTAGAGTTGGGCCTTTGTGGTAAATTAGTGCCTTTATAAAAAGAGCAGGACACACGGGAGTTCTCTCTCTGGTCTCCACCATGTGAGGACACAGGAGGAAAACACCCATCTGTAAACCAGAAAGTGGTTTACAAAACTCCAGATTTGGCCACATTTTGATCATGGACTTTGTAGCATTCAGACCTGAATGTTTGTTAAGTCACCCAGTCCATGGCAACCTGTTATAGTAGCCCAAACTGATGAAGACATTGTGCCACTCAAAAAAGGCCAAAATCCTCTTCTCTTGGCCAAATTCAGAGAAGGCCACATCTTACCAATTTCAATTTTATCCACATTATTATAGTCTTCCTCACTATGGGTAAGATTTCAAAAGATACACAACTGTCCCTACTTTTAGATATCCTCCAACCTACAACAAGCTTCTGCTTCCTTACAGATGCCTTCTAACCACCCAAATTAAAGCTCAAATTCTATAAGCTGTTTTCCTAATACCCCTGGCACTCCTCATGGCTCCACATGCCTGAGCTCTCGTAGCTGCAGTGAATGATAAACCTAAGTTTTTTACTTACAAGTATGTTTCTGGTGGTCTTTGGATAACTGGTAGTGACACAATGGTATACCCAAAATGGCTCTCATGTGAGACTTTCAGGCAATGAACAAGCCAAACAAGTCTTACGCGTGTTTTTGTTTTAATTATTATATTTTGTTCAGAATTCTTACATTGTAAGTGTTTATAGACCTAAGGATATCTATAACTTTAGTTTTTTTAAAGAATTATAATAAGTCTTCAGAAAAATAAGATATCTCTCTAATAAAACCTTTGAAATGTTAACTTTATAATTCTGGATATTCATGTGTATAAAGTGATTAATCTTTTAGCATTTATAGCCAGTTATGGCTTATAACAAATAAAATTAGAAAGCATTTGATAAACTTAGATCAAGAAAGGTCAAAATATAAGTTAATAATACTTGGCAACACTGGCTAAATTTAATATTGTACTTTTGTTTTTGAAAATATACCATTTAAAATTAGTTTTGTCTTCAAAAAAGCTGTGCAGAAAATAATTACTTGAATGGCAACAACAAAATAATAAGCCTACTAACAAAGATAATAAGTATTATTATTTAAGCATCTATTCTTGGGAAGTGTTTCATATTTATTATCCCTAAATTTCAATGCCAGCTTGGCAAATCACTATTATTATTCTCATTTTACAACACTAAATTTTAAAGTGAGAGTCTCAAGATCAAACAGCTAATAAATGTCAGTTTTTCACTCAGATCAAACTTAAGTATGATTTCTCAAACCTTATTCTGAGTTAACATTGCTTTGCTTCTTTCCATAATTATAGTAGATAACAGAATGAGAGGTTTATATTTAAACTACAAAGCAATATTTGACAGTTTTACACAAGTGTGGAAGCCTGCTGTCATTTAAAACGTGGCTATTGATAAAATTCACTACTCAGAAATAAGAAATTTCAAAAGAAAAGGGAAAGTAAGAAATGTGAGATTATAGATTGAAGAGAAATGTAGGTTAAAAAATAATGACTAAAATGGATAAAATACTTCTGGATCACTGCACGCAGAGAATATCAGTAGAAGATATAATTCTCACAAAGATATTTTGTGTCTATTAAGGATAAAAAGAAGAGAAAAATTCATTAGAAAAGAAACATATGATCAATGAACATATATCTATAGTATCAGTGGAATAAAGGCTAAACTTTTAGGTGAAGAAGAATAACTGAAAGCAGGATGATTAATACAAGAATTACCAAACTGTGCTTTCTAAGAGCACAGCAATTACTCTTAATGTGAAAAGTGAAATCATCAAACAATCCTCTGCGTCATTTGTAGAGTCAAAAAAATGCTTTGGAGACATCATCAGCCTTAACCAGTAGTGTTCACATAGCAGAATATGTGTGATTAAAGAAAAAAATTATACCTAAGCAAAGGGCCTTTATATTTAGTAAAATTCATTACATAGTCACAACTGTGTTCCTTTTAATACACACTCACCTAATATGGTCTCATTCTATTTTCTCATACAAAAATTCAGGATTATAATTCTTACAAAGCTTCTTATTTCTCCCAACACCATCTATTGTCCATACACAATATTTGAAACAAGTTATTCTATAGAAATAACTAAGATTCATTCAGGTTTACAAGCCCAATTGTGTTTTAATCTATGCTTTATTGTGTTTAATAAAAAAATTCCTTTTCATGTAGCCAAAGAAAAAAAATCTACATAGGAAAAAATTTATTGAAACATAGAGACAATAATTATCCTTCAAGCAGAATGTAGTTTATCAAATTTTCAGTCAACAAGAAGATCAAACAAAGAGGTTTACAAACCCTTCTTAAGTATCCCTTCCTCACTTCCCATCCCCACATTTTAGGATCAAAGACTCCTGAAGATTATAGGAAAATCACAAAGTATATTTTTATCCCAACTGTGAACAATCTTCTCAGAAGCAGAATTGGCCTTGTTACACCGTACTAGTTTCAATGCCTATGCGAGCACCTATCATGTATCCTTGACTTTCTCAAAGAGAAATTTAATTCAAAGAAGATTAAGTAATAATTGTTAAAATAAAAGCAATGTGAATACATCTTAAAGAACAAATATCACAGGCACCTCAAGCTCCACTGTAGTTTTGTAAAGATATACTAAAATAAAATTGGATTGCAGAGCTAAGATCAAAACTATAAAAATATCAAGGATTAGAGTTTTGGACATCAAAAATCTTCTTTGACTAGCTAGAGCATGAAATCATGTTTTAAAAATAGAGAGAAGAAATGCATTAAAGATTAGCATTACCCAAGATCAGTAAAACCAGTAATTATCAGAATATAAAGCATTTGGTCAAGAGAATTATGTGCATTTTTAAATGGGCATTAGAATTTCTCACATGTTAACTTTTAAAACTATCTGTAAATATATTTGATGAAAACAAAATGTAATCTTGATCACCACATTGATAAGGGCTTTGTTGTCATTGTTAAAGAACTTGCATTTGATCTGTTCATGTGATAATTCTGCAATATAGTTTAAAATTACCTAAAATGTTACACACTTAATAAGGAAGTGAAGAAACACATTTTGTTATAGGGACAGCTTATTAGTCATATAAAATAAAATTAGTAAAAGGAAGAAGTAGAAGCAATGACAATTTTTAAATATATTTGATTGATTATACTTTAATACTATATCCTAGTAAGGTGGCTTCCTAAAAAAAAGAAATCCAAGTTTCTCTAAGCATGTTCATTATAGAAATGATTGCAAATAGATTTTTGAAATTAAGAAACCACATTGAAGATGGAAACAAAGATGGAAGTTCAACAATGCTCATATGTAAGGATCCTGCTTAAAATTAAGAATCAAAGCACATTTTATATATCTGGACCTAAAAAAAATATCCCACAGCTTTTCATCAGTGGGGGAAAAATTTCAAGTGTTTAATTAGAATTTATGTTTCAGACATGCGTAACTGAGAGAAATCTCTGAATAAAACATCAAATTTCAGTTCAGTAGTAGTATAACTGTAAAACTTTTTGATATTGAGAAGCTCATTTCACACTGAAATTCTGACAGGTGAATCTGAAGTGCCAAATGCTGACTTCTACAGTAAGAAGCCAGTACTGAGATGTAATCATCTCACAGACTTAATTTTAGGCAAGTCATTTAACTAACACTGGGTTTGATTTTATCATCTATAAATGAGAAGTTACCTCTCATATTCTGGGCATTCCTGATGTAGGTTAAAAATCTGAATTTCATAAATTACTAAGACTCACAAGTATAAATTTCTGTCTATAAAATGCCTATTTGCTGCAAGTGATAAACTCGTCTATTTACACCCAAACCTTAATAAAATCACAGCAGATACAGCTGCATTTCAGAAATCTGGAATGAGACTTAGGAATGGTAACTTTCCCCAGGTCACACAAGTAAGTGCAGAAATTGGGTTGCTAACTGAGTTCTGTCTCTTTGCCTTCATGACAATTCAGACATGCATTCTGATTTTTATTCAATTGATAATCAAATACTCATCATTCAAGCCACATGGCAAAGCTTAAAATAATAACATTTAAGAAGTTTTCTATTTGAACCATAATCACTGGCGATTTAACAAGGAAGTCTCTTATTACTTACAGCTGTTCCAAGGATATGAGTCCCTTAAAAGTTTGCTTATCTAGTGCATGAATTTCATTCTTGTTCAGGTACCTGAAAAACATAAACACAAATCTTAAGTTAACAATTAGTGTAGATAATACATGTGTTAGATCAGGAGGTTTTAAAATGCAGTATGTGGATTTAGGGAGCCTTGGGAGAGTTTGTTTATAGATCTCCTAATGATATGGAAACTGTGATTTTATTTAAACATGTTCAGTTGTCTAGTAAAAGAATTTTGAGGCTCTTATCAAATTCTAAGAGTTCTTTGATCCAAAATATTAAGGAACTTAGAGTTATGAAGAAATTCTAAATAATGAAATTATATGTTATTGAATAGCAACTTCTCTAAGAAAAAAAGTTTAATTACAAACTTCAATCTACTTTGTGAAACTGAATACACTCATCTGGGAGTTATGTTTACAGAGCAGGTAAATATCACCATTTGATTAATCTTAAAGGGATAAAAACATCTTCACAGATCTAAAAGATATGTTTTGGTTCTCCCATGGTTTCCATTAAAAATCTACAAAAGAGCATAAGTGTTAGTATTTACACATAAGATGATACAACTAACCTTACCGAAAGATCTGAGAGAACATGCCCCTGCTCTGTTTGAGCCTCCTGGAATTTGAGGCAGAGTTTCTGAAACTTCCTATCAAGTTTTGTTTTTGAATGTGCCTTTTCATGTTATGAAGTGGCTGGCGGTTTGTTTCAAATGCCCTTTTCCACACCCATTGGTGACACCACTCACTCTAACTTTCTTGGGGAAAGCGATTTGATTATTGCCAACCATAGTCCTGATTGACTTAGAAGCCACAGAAATTGCCACTCTGATTGAAAATGAATAACATACTGCTTCTCTAAACCAGTTTAGTGAAGCTTTGGATGTTCCAAACTACTTTCTCTTATGCAGGTTAGGATTGAAACAAATTTCTCAGAGCAGTAGTGGCTAGTGTGGATTTGTGTCTAACTGAAAGTTTTTTCCTTGATGTCATTTGATAATATGAAAGACTTGACAATGATTAATTACTTGAATAAACTTCAGTCTGGTTTCTGATCCCTCTTTTAGGCTTGTAAAGCCTACCTTGTAAAGCCCAGGGCACTCTACATTGTAAAGCCCAGTTTTAGAAAACTACTCTGATAAGGGAAGGTGGCAAAAGTTTCTCATCCTCCATATCTAATAGAAATTATTCACTGCTCACCACTGATATATGATCACCCTGGCCTTCATTCCACAAGAATCCCAGGTTGGTTCAGTCAGAACTCCTCCTAGACCTAACGTTTTTCTTTTCTTTTTTTCAGAAAATTTCCCTCTACTGACCTGTTTCTTCTTAGCTATAAATCTCACCTATTCCTGGTGTATTCAGAATGGAGCCGCGTTCTGTTGGGGAGTCTCTCTTTTCCTACTGCAATAGTACCTGGCTTGTGCCCTTGGAATAGTGGAATAGTGTTTTTTGTTTGTTTTTTTGTTTTGTTTTTGTCTTTGCTGTATATTGTCACCTCTGCAGAAGCTCAGAGAATCCTAATGCCTCGTTCATACCACAGAGCCAATTTTAAACCAGTATCTGTGGAGTAAGGGACTGAGAGATCAGTATTAGGTCTGAAGTAGAGCTCAAAATGATTTCTTAGAAGTACTCATGATTCATATACATTCACAATTGTGAACCAGTAGTGGTTTTTTTGAGACCAGAGCTCAGTGCACCTTATAGTCTCTTGAGGAACATGGTTCTAGAAAATTCTATTTCACTTTCTCACTGTTCTAGAGACTACAAAGTCTAAATGAAGTCTGACAGGGTTCAGTTTCTGCTGAGGCCCCTCTTCTTTGCTTAGCGACAGCTGCCCTCATGCTGTGTCTTCACAGGGCCAAGAGAGCAAGCTTCCGTGTCCCTTCCTCTTCTCCGAGGGCTCTCCATACACAGGACCTCATGGAAGCCTGATCATCTCCCAAAGATCCCACCTCCCAATACCATCACACTGAGGCTTAGGGCTTCCATGTATGAACTTGAGGGGTAACACAAGCATTCACAACAGGAACCCAGATTGAATAGGGCAAAAGTAGCAAGCAAAGGAGATTCTGCATTGATTCTTTACCCCAAATGGTATCTTTACCCAAACTAGACTAAGGCAAGGTTTTCTGAAATCACATGGGATGAAGTTCAAAACAGGAACATGGTTATAAGAAAGTAAAATTATATTTGCATCCCTTAATATATAGACTGACATCATTCCTGTGTTCATTGTGTGCTCATGTTTCCATTTGAAAACATGAACAGCAACCAGCAGAAAGTTGCACACCCTAGTCAGTGTGGTATCATGTTCTGCTTAACATGTGGTAAAGGTCATTAAAAAACAATTTAACTTTAGAGCCCAAAATTCCATGCGCAGAATTAAATAACAATATTTGTAAAAATAAAAACACAAAAGAACTTGAAAATAAGAAATATATAGAATTGTTAATTTCAGAGTAGGGAAGTAAGTTCTAAAACACAAAATCTCAAAATCATGAAAGACTGAAATCTGAGTGCATGAATTTTTAAAAAAGTAAAAGCATATCTTAATTTTGTGCTCTAAAAGTTCCCACAATTAATAACTTCCCAGCACAATAAGAACACCACTATATGGGTTTTGTTTTCAAAATACTACTTTTCACAGGAATAAATAAAGCTCTTTGAATAAATTGCTGTTTCTAGGGCTAGGGTAACAAAAGTATATAACTTTTGTTTGACAAAAAAGTCCTCAAAATCTATTGGAATCATGTCAGAATGACAAAGAAAATAGTTTAAAAGCCAAAATTTAGATGACTTGAGAATCAAAAAGACTGATAAGGATATTGATATAATGCATAGAAAATTTTTTAATTCCATGAATCTATAGAGATGAAAGCAACAAATCAAGAGAGACAAAACCATGGGGGAGAATGGAAAGGGTTTCTTCTTTTCAGAAGACTGCCAGCTAACAAAAGCAGAAAGTAATAAAATTAGAAAAGCATAATTTTGCAACACAATGTAAAAGCATATTCAGGTAAAACCCTTCAGTGGATGTCAAATTATTGCCAAAGTTTGGTATATAGGAAAGCTGTTAACTTTGGTAAATTAATCTTGAATCCTGCAAACCTTGCTAAGATCATTTATTAGTTCCAGGAGTTTTTTTCATTGAGTCTTTGAGATTTTCTGGATACCTACTCATGTCATCTGAAAAACAAAGACATGATTATTTTTTCCTTCCTTTCTACTCTTATTTATTAGCTAAAACTTCCAGTATGATAGTGAAGAGGGATGAAAAGAGGGAGTATCCTTGCCTTATTGCTGATCTTAGTGGGAAAACAGTGCATTTTGTCATCATTAAGCATGCTGTTAGCCACAAAGGTTTTGGTAGATGTCCTTCATCAATTTGAGAAAGCTCTTTCTTCATTGTTTCCCAAGAAATTTCCATCATAAATAATGTTATATTTTGTCAAATGCTTTTCATGTATCTACTGATATCATCATATGACGTTTCTACTCCATCCTGTTGATGGGATGGATTAAACTGACTGATTTCAAATGCTGAATCATGCTGGTATACCTGGGCTGAGTTCCACTCGGCTGGGGCTTATAATTCTTTACGTACGCTGTTGGGTTTGATTATCTAGTATCTTATGGAGAATTACTGCATTTGTGTTCATAAGAGTTTCTTGTCTGTGGTTACTGTTTCTCATCATACCTTCGTCTGGTTTTCATATCCAAGTGATGCTGGCCTTCGAGAATTAGTTAATATTCTTCTGTTTCTACTTTTCTGAAAGAAACTGTAGAGAACCAATATCATGTTTTCCTTATGTGTTTGGTGGAAATTGCCAGTGAAACTATCTGGGTCTGCTCTTTTCTGTTTGAAGAAGGGTAGTTATTTACCAATTCAATTTGTTTAGGAGAGTTGGGCCTATTCGAAGTATCTGTTTCTTTTTGCATGAGATTGGTAGATTGTATCTTAAAGGAAACCAGTCTATTTTATCTAAATTATCAAATTTATGGGCACAGATGTTAATGGTATTCTTTTATTAGCATCTTAATGTCTATGGTTCACTAGGCATGGCCTCATTTCACTTGTAATATTAATAATTTGTATTTTATCTTTTTTCTCCTGTAGCCTGGCTCAAAGTTCATCAACTTTATTAATCTTTTTAAGAAGCAGTTTTGGGTTTTGTCAAACTTGTCTACTGTTTCCTGTTCTCACTATCATTGATTTTTATCTGTTTTTTATGATTTCTTCTGCTTATTGCAGGTTTGTATTGTGCATCTTTATCTTTTCTTCTAAGGGGGTTGATCCTAAATTGACTCTAGTTATATGTTTCTTATTTTCTAAAATATGCATTCAACAATAAATATCCCTTCTACACATTTGCACTCCACAAATTTTGACAAATTTTGTATTTTTATGTTCATTCAATTCAAATCTTTTAAAATTTCTTTTGGGACTTTTTTGATTCATGTGTTACCTTTAAGTACATTGTTCAATTGACAAATATTTTGGGATTTTTGAGCTGTTTTTAAGTTATAGAATTCCAGTTTATTTTCACTGTGGTTTAAGAATCTATTTTGCATGACTTCTCATTTAAATTTGTTGAGATGAATTTTTGGCTTATAATATTGCCTATCTTGGTGAATTTCTATGTAAACTTGAAAAGAATGTGTATTCTGCTGTCATAGGATTGAGTATTCTATAAATGTCAATTGGATCCAGTCAACTGGTGTCACTGTTCAGTTTATCTATGTCCTTACTAAATTTCTGCTTGCTGAATCTGTCAATTATTGATGGAGGGGTGGGTATTGAAGTCTTCAACAGGTAGAGTAGATTTATTTCTCCTTGTAATCATACCAGTTTTTGTCACCATATTTTGATGCTCTACTATTAGGCACACACAAAGTATTATTATTACATCTTCTTGGAGAATAGACCATGTCATAATCTGTTTTGTGTGATAATAACATGATACCTGAAAGTGGGCAATTTATGAAGAAAATGAAATGATTTCTTACAGTCTTTGAGTCATGGAAATCTAACATTAAGGGGACCAC